TGAAGTTATTGTATGTAAAATTTTTGTATGTTAAGTTTTGTATGGTAAGTGTAAGTAAAAGTATTGTATGTTAAGTTTCTGTGTGTGAAGTTATTGTATGTAAAGTTTTGTATGGTAAGTGTAAGTTTTGTATGGTAAGTGTAAGGGAGGCGGCGGGAGGAGGCGGCGGCACCCGGGATACAGAATCAAAAACAAGCACCCCACACAAAGATGTGGGGAAAAAACATACTGATCTAGACCCTACTGATCTAGGGCTGGTCTTTGCTTCCCTGATTTCTGTTTTTTGTTGCAAATTATTGTTTTATTTTTATTTTTTAAATAGTATGTTGGTGAAAAAATATTGGTGAAACAACTATGATGAAGTAACTGTTGGTAATGGTATCCTTATATCATTGTCCATGAGGATATATAATCACCATGAAAGTCACTCACCATAATCAATATGGTCAATGATCATGGACAATCTGAATTGGAAGATTATTTTCGAGACCATGGGATGGAATATGATGGAATGGGGTCCCAGAATTTCAGACAACTTCAACAGTTTCCTTTTAAAGGATCTTCTTTTGAGGCGGTTGCATTCTGTTGCCAAATTTCACGTTTGGTGTGGTCGTTGGACACCTTTGCAGAATTTCGGAGGGCATCCAAACAAGTCAGAACGGAGAGACGGCAGAGTGTGATAGCCGAACCCCCTGGGATCGTTGTTTATCGAGATGACAGGATGATGCAATGCACATCCCTATGAACCAATCATCATTTGCATGAGTTGAATACTCCAACTTTTTGTTGAAACACCATGTTTGAACCCTGTTCTTCACAGGCAAACAAACAAATCCCCCATGAAATTGGGGACTTGCACTCAGCACTGGGTTTTCAGGCTACATCAATATATTATGATACGTTGGAATTCCGGGAAAACCGTGCCAAAAATATTTGATCCTAAAGTAACTACCACACTTTTTTTTTGGCCAAGCATGATAAACCGCCTGATGGCGCATCAACGCTGATGAACTCTCTGGGACCTCCCAGATTTTCCTCTATCAACATGGCCAGAATGGGGTATCTCCCATTTTGAGACACCCTCACAACCATGAGTGTCGACATCCCTGGTCAATCTCCCCATGCTTAGATTTTGTGGTCGGTGAAATCCCCTATTTCGGTCAAAGCCAGGCCTCCGATCTCTTGAAAAATTGGTCATTTCATCCACATTTCTGATGTGTTGCAGTGAAAATTCTGATTCCAAATGGGTACAGCATCTTCCATAGCCTGGCCGAGGCGAGGAGTACCAGTTCGAGAAGGCCATGAAGAACAACGAGATGAGAGCCTTACTCTCCATGGAAGCTGGGATCCATCCGGTTCCACAGCTGCAGCTGGATGTTTTGTCCGAAAAAGTGGGATTTTCTCCGGCAAACATGGTGATTTTAAGCAGTCAAAATAGGGATCTGTCCGGCCAGAAATGGGATCCACTAAAACAAGTGGTATGATGGGGGTTTAACCAATATAAGGATTGATTAGCTTCACAAATCCCCCTTGTGATTCTCTGGTATATGCATATATAGATATATACACCTAAAAAAATCTTACTCATCGTGGTTTTCAACCAGCTATGACCAGCATGGCCCAAGGTGTTCATCGACTGCCCCAATCTTCGGCTCTGGGACGCTGGGTGCTTCGTTCGTAGCGCTGGCAAGTTGCCAAGTAGAACAGAGATCCTGAACTCATTGTGGTTTAACGAGCAAAAGTTGGGATTTAACCAATCAAACCAGGGATGCTAAGAACACTAGTGGTCACGGCCTTTTTTCACAGCAGATACACGAAATGGCCATTCAAAAAGTGGGGTAAACATGATGATAAGCCAATGGAATGGGGTTCTAGATTTTAAATTTTGAGACAACGCCACATCCTGCCTTGGGCCATAGGCCATATCATCCTACTTGTCTTATGGTTTTGTTGTTTGCACTGAGGCGCTCTAGTTGAAACAACCATGGAAGTGGAAAATGACACCCTCAAACAATGATTGTCCTATTGACAATCATTAGCGGGTTTCCAATTCCATGCGAGCTTCCGACAGACAAACAGACATATAAACTGATTAGCGCCAAATTATGCGGCTCGACAATGTCATGATGGCCCAATTTTTTGGGTTTCAATCACAATGAACCAATGCGTGGTCGGATTGGCATCACAATTAGTTTCCTCACCTCTGGACGGAGCTGATTGAGTCGGTTAGGTTCCCACTTTTATTTTTGGGTTGACCAATTGCTTTGTGCATGGCTATGTCATGGGATTCAGGGTTTGGGTTCCAACATTCTCGTCTGATGAAGTTTTGGGATGATTCAATTGCAGATTGGTTCTCTCCTACACCCAAGAATACCACTCCGAATTTACTTTTGCTGGGTATTGGACACCATACGGCCGAAAAAAGTTGATCACTGGACTTACCAGATTATCACACGCACCATGTTGGGCCATCCAGGAAATGAAGCCGTATGTTCTACTG